TAAGTAAGGAAAGGAGTGAAGGAGACATAACCATGGTCTTAGCTGGGTGGTGCTGGGCCTCCTGGTTGCTCTGTGACTGTAAGTAGTAGACAAGGGAGTTGACAAACTTAATTAAAGGATGCTCATGTTCCCACTGCCCATCCCCTGTGCAGCCTTGGGCAAGCTATAGGGCCTCTCTGACCCCAGTTGCCCTATGCCTGGAATGCCAAATGCTGGGGGCAGAGAACTCATAGGGAAGCTGACCAGTCCTCCCACCACCCATACGTAGCACGTGGACATCCAGAACTTCTCCTCAAGTTGGAGTGATGGGATGGCCTTCTGTGCCCTGGTGCACAACTTCTTCCCTGAGGCATTCGACTATGGGCAGCTTAGCCCACAGAACCGGCGTCAGAACTTTGAGGTGGCCTTCTCATCTGCTGAGTAAGTGTGGGCCCCAGTCCTGCTGGTGTCAGCTGGGCATCTGGGACTGGGCATCTGGGCCAGGCCCAGCTGCCCCAAGGCCCCTTGAAGCTGGCCAGCTGCACTGTCAGACAGCGGCTGAGACCCCCTTCCCCAGAAAGCCCCTGTCCTCTCCACCCTGCCCACCTGCTGCTGAGTGTGCCAGGTGCCCGCCGGAACGAAGGAGCCGCCGGCCCGCCTACCAGCCCCGGCCAAGGCCCACCAGGTGGCCCTGTCCATATCCCCTCCATCCTCCCTCTGCCCCTTACTCCCTCTCTCTCTCCCTTTCTCTGTCCTGCTCTCCTCCCACTATCACCAGAGCTTCCTGCTCCCACGGGATCCCGGCTGGAGATTCCAAAAGGAGGCTCCTGGCCTGGGCACCGTGCCCGTCCAGCCTATATAGGTGTCGCCAAAGGCTTATATAGGACATTAGCAAGCCCTCCACTTTGGAATCGTTGCCCCGTCTGCTCACCTCACCCTCAGCACCCTCCATCTGTCTTTCCTTCTCTCCTTTTCTCTTTCTGGTTCCCCCAGATTTCTTCCTCTTCCTCCTCCCCCACCTCCTTTCACGCCTCCCTCACCTCCCCTCCCTGGGGCACAGCCCTCCTCTCCAACCTCAGTGCCAACGCCATTGCCCCCCACCCCATTCCCGCTTTCCCCAAGAGTTCTCTGCACCTGTGACTGGTCTGGCCCCCCACCCCTGTCTGCATTGCACACCATTAGTGATGGGTAGTGAGCGGCACGTCCACAATGGGAAAGAGGCATGCGGGGGGGGCCGGCAGACTGCAGCACTGAGAACGTAACTGAACTCTTGTCTCTGTGTGTATGTGTATGTGTGTGTCTCTGTGTTCTCCCCTTTCTCTTCTCTGCCTCTTCCCCCTCTCCTCTCCTGGGCCCTGCCTCCCTGCCCCTTCCCGGCCCCCTACCCTCCCCAGGACCCATGCGGACTGCCCGCAGCTCCTGGACACAGAGGACATGGTGCGGCTTCGAGAGCCTGACTGGAAGTGCGTGTACACGTACATCCAGGAGTTCTACCGCTGTCTGGTCCAGAAGGGGCTGGTAAAAACCAAAAAGTCCTAACCCCTGCTCAGGGGCCCCACGGTGAGAAATGCCTCCTCGCCTGCCTGCACTGTATGCTGGAATCTGCTCAGAGGGGCCCAGAGAGAGACTGGGAGGTGGGTGGGAGAAGCAAGGGGACCCCGAGAAGAGCCAGAAGGAGCCAGACATGGCCCTGTCTTCTGGTAGTTCAGGGCCTAGCAGGCAAGACCGTTCTTTTAATGGGGCAGTGATGACCCACATGAGCAGGACTGAGATGGAGGAAGCCCAGGAAGGAACCCCAGAGGAGGTACCTGACCCAGCCTACAGGTCCAGGACAGCTATCTGAAAAAAGTGCAAACCAAGCTAGGATCTGAATAACAAGTTCAGGCTAGAGGAGGGAGAGGGAGTCCCAGGCAGCAGGGTGAGTCTATGTACAGGGCTGGGGGCGAGAGAGATGGAGAGCGTAGCATACATACTCAGGAAGGGAAGGAAGTTTAGTCTGGGTTTGAAGGGGAGAAGAGAAGGAAGTTTAGTCTGCATATGAAGGGCAGAAGGGAAGGAAGTTTAGTCTGGGCTTGAAGAGGAGAAGGGGCCACAGGAGTTTGAACTTCCTCCTAAAGACAGGAGTCATAAAAGATTTCCAAACAGAGAAGGGGTCTGGTTAGCATTCTAGAACAATGTCTGGATGAGGGATGGGGGTGGTGAAGGAATGTGCTAGATAGCTGGAGCAACTTAGAAGTAGGAGAGGCTGACTGATGGATTCAGTTTGGGGGTAGGGGGAGAAGGAGGCTCAAGAAAGCCTACTAGGCCTCAGGTTTGGGCACTGGGGAATTGGTGGTGCCACACTCCTTGGAGAGCTCAAGAGCAGGGCCAGTATAACAGGAAGATGTTTCTGGTTAGGGTTCTGGGTCTTCAAATCAGCTATGACATTTTCTCTCTAGTTACCTTACCTCATGGCTACAGTAGGAATTCAGGTCCTGAGCTAACTGTCCATTCCAGACAAGTTGCTCAGAGAAGGAGAGAGGTGGCTCAGAGTCTTGGAGGTTTTAGGTCAAGAGACTGCTGGAAACTAGAACTCCATATTCCCCACTTAGAGGCTCTTTTCTCTACCCCATCACTTTTCCCACCCATTGTGCAGAGAGAAGAAAAGTCAAAGACCCAGAGGGAGGGGATTCCCCAAATGAGTCAGGGACAGAGCTAGGGATGTACTCAGATGCCCCTCAGGGCCTGGAGCCATGTGGGGGGCAGCCCACATGTGGACACATCCACCCATAGATAAGCCGTGCAGGTGAGAGGAGGATGGGTTTGGTTTTGTCTCCAGGTCATATATGGACTTACAAGCTGCTGCCCAGCAGACTGGCCTGGAGGGAAAGGGGCCCAGCCCAGCCCTGATCCAGTTGGAAAGTGTGACTCAGCTGTGCTGTTGCTCGAATTGCCCTCTGTTTGGCCTGTCACTGGGGCAGCTGAAGCCCTGAGCTGTGAGCCCCAGTGTAAACAATGGCTTTATAAGGTCTCCAGGGAAGACACCAGAGGTGGGAGGGAGCTCCACGCTGGGGAGCCCAGGATCCCTGAAGAGATAGCCACAGTTTGAAGAAACTGCACAGAGAGGCTGCCTTCTTCACCATAGTATAGCTGGGAAAATAAGTCCGGTCTGGGGCAGAGACGCCAAGGGCACATAGCACATCGGCAACAGAGTCAGAAACCCCCTCACTCATCTAAGTGCTCCCAAGGTCTCAAATGAGGCAGAGAACTTGTTGCTATAAAGATGGGAAAGTTGAGTCACAGAACAGGGCAGGGCTTTATCTAGCACACACAGGTGATCAAGGGTACAGTGTGGACTGAAACAGAGGTCTTCTGCCTCCCAAGCTTCTTTATGAAGGAGTCTAGGTGAGCTAGGAGTAGGCTCCAGTCCTACCATGGTCCCAGGTTTGACCTTGATGGCACAAGATGGAAGGTAGTCCTGGGCCCATTGGTGTGTTACCGATAGGAGCCGTTCTTCCCTGTATGCTTTCCCTGCCAAAGGAAACTCAGTTAACGTGGACTTACGGGAGGGGGCAAGGCAGAAGAGGACTTGCTCTGGGAGAGGAGGGGAAATGGAGCCAGGGAGCAAACTCTAGCTTTAGAGCTCTGGGGCTGTCAGTTGCTTAGTAGCTGCAGTCCATTCACCCCAGAGTGGGGAGATGACTCTTCAGTAGGGAAGAGGGGCTCCAGACAGGTGTCAACACCCAGGGCTGGGGCACTTAAGTCCCAGGAGGCCCAGCCTTGTACCTACCAAGCTATGGGAACTGAAACAAATGAATTCTGCTCTGTGACTCAGTCTCCCTCTGTAAAGTATGGCTGGAACTCTGGAGGATGACAGATGGATGGTCCCACTCTTGAGCGTGTTGTAGGTGTCCTGTCTGTATTGCTTGGGACCCTCATCTGCTTCTCCTGCTCTACCCAAGGAGGGGGGTAAGGGTTAAAGAACTACACACACACACACACACACTGTCTTCTACCTCCTGTAGCAGGATTGTCCCCTGGGGCAAGGACAGGGGTTCCCAGGCCTCTCTACAGGAGGTACCAGGCCAGGCATCTGAGAGATGCCCAGAGGGTCACTGGGGCGGGTCCTGGCTGCAGAGAAAGGTGTGCCATTGGTAAGGCCCCTCTGGATTCAATGGCCCAACCCAGAGGCTTTTGCCAGCTGGAGTGTGCCATTGAGGGTATGCAGGAAGTGGCCCTCCAGAGAGAATATGGGTGAGGTCTGGAGTCAGGAACCTCCAGGGCTAGGGGTAGAGACCCGGACCCTGCCCGGAGTGGGATGGGGCATGGCTCTCCTCCCATCTCCACCCACACCTGCTAGGCCTAGCTCCCCATAGTGATGCTTCTAGGCTTGGGTCAGTGGGCCCTGGGGTTTCCTGTCTTCCCAGAAAGCTTTTATCCCTTCACTCAATCAAGAATCTGGAGTTTATGGAAGACCAACAGGCTGCAAGCAGTGAAAAGACCTCCGGATAGAGGGTAGCCACAGGAAACGGGGCCAGCACTGACAAGTACCCCCGTGCCCCCTTCCTGCAGGATGCTGGTGGACTGCGTGCCCCTGGTGGAGGTGGAGGACATGATGATCATGGGCAAGAAGCCCGACCCCAAGTGCGTCTTCACCTATGTGCAGTCGCTCTACAACCACCTGAGGCGCCACGAGCTGCGCCTGCGCGGCAAGAATGTCTAGCCTCCCTGCCGGCACGGCCAGCCTACGGCAAGATGACCCCACCATCCAGGCACCATCCCCTCCCTCTGCGCCTGCCCACTGCTGCCCTGTCTGTCGCGACACCTTGCCCCGCATACACACGCTGCGTTTTGATAAATTATTGGTTTTCAACGACCCTGACTCCTCTCAGCCTGTCTTGGGGGTTGAATGGAGGGTAGCTTGGCAAGGTGTGCACACATCCCCACTCCAGCAGCCAAGTATTTGGGGATGCTGGGAGTCTTAGGGGGGCTCCTATTCCCCACCCTCCCGCAACAAAGAAGGAGTCAAGTCTCAGTTAAGGCTGAAGAGGATTTAATTGAGCTGGGGAGGGAAGAAAGGGGGTTAGCAAGAACCCCCAACTCCATCTCTGCCGGCTCTGGGACGGGGCGTCGGCCCTCAGCGAGGGAGGTGTTCCCGGGACGCTGAGCGCTTCATTCTGTCCCCAGGGCTCAGGCGAGGGAGGGAGCGGGCCCGCATACCCGGACTTAAAGGTCAGCGCGGGCCGGAGCGCCTTCGTCGGGCCTAGCAGGCGCCCGCAGGTACTCTGGGGGAACAGGTTCGTCAGGCGCCGCCTTGCGGTAGAAGCCGAGCTCCTGCACAAGCTCATTAATCTCCTCGCGGGTCATTTCGCTGAGTGGGATTCGCTTGAAGTAGAAGAGGGAGGTCAGTGCACCTCGCCCCGCCCTTAGCCCCGCCCCCCGTCTGGCTTCCAAGGCCTCACCTCCAGTTCTTCGTAGCGGTGGCCCAGCAGGACTAGCTCTGGGTCTGCCCCTGGGAGATGTTTCATTACCATGTTGTGACTGGAGTTGTTAAGGTGGGTTGTGGTGACCTGAGGCAGGTGGGGTCTCCCACCTACGAACAGAAAGTGAATAGCGCTGCCTCTTTAGCCCAGGTAGGGTAGGGATCCACATTTACATGTGAGGAAATTAGAGTTCAAAGAAGCAAAGGGCCCTCTTTTTCTGTGTCAGTGGCAACCATCACTAGTCAATTTCTCTTGCCTACCACCTAGAAATTCTCTGGCCAGTCACTATCAATCAATTCCACTTGTCAGATGAAAACCATTTGTCATCCCTATCTGTGAAGTTAAGTGGAAGGAGATTCTCCCAGATCCTCCTCCCCATTCTCCCTCCCCCAGAACGGAAAAAAGGATACTATAAAGGGATATCCTGGGTGACGAAGGCCTTCACCTGGGGAAGAACCAGAGCATCAGACCCCAACCACCTTCAAACACCAACAGGAAACGGAAGCCTGCTAAGGTCACACGCCCTTGACTCCCATCCCAGGGAACTTCCCCCGCCCAATCTTTGGGATGTTACCCTCCCCTCAAGTTCAGTGGTGACAGAGCTGGAGACCCCTTTCCTTCAAACTTACCTCCTTCAGGCGATTCAGCTGTCATCCCCCACAGGTCTGGAGGGAGACAAAAAGGGATAGGTCAGAAGTCCTTCATGTCTGCCCCAACCACACCCTCCAGACCATTTTACCCTCATCCCAGAGTTGGGTGGGGCTATGGATTACCCCTGGAACAGCAGCTCCCAAGGTATGGAGATGGAGGTTCCTTATGGGCAAAAGGGGGAACTCTGTAAAGATGGGAAAACTGAGGCTTATGAACATCAGGAGAGAGAAGAGCAAGACCAGAGACCCAAAGGGCACTTACCAGCCTTGGGGCTGTTGCCTGCACACCTTACTGACTGTTGACTCACTCCCAATCAATGCCCAAAAGAAATGATTACTCTACTTCTTTCAGGCAGTAGAGACCGGGGCCTGGTCTTTGGCCCCTAAAGCCTCAGGGTGAAGGCAGACCAGAAGTAAACAGCTCAGAATTGCCCTGGTAGATCCCATTAGAGATACCTGCCATCTGGTCCCCATCTAACCCCATGAAGAACTGCCCCTCCATTTGGTTGCTTCTCCAACATGGGGGGGGGGGGCCAGCCTGGAATCTTCAGCCTGGACCCGGACGACTCCTCTCCCACTTCCCAAATTGTACAGAACCATCCCCTCCCCTCCCCCAGCCTCAGTGACGCCCCAGCACTCACCACCGGCAGCCCCCTCAGACATGCATTCCCATGCCGGAAATACCAAATCCCTCCTCCTCAGCCTCATCCGGCCGACACCAGCATCACTGGCCCTGCCCCCACCCCACCGCCTGCAGAGCCCCAAACCACCTCGGCTTCCACCCCACCCATCCCCCCATTATTTCAAGCCACCGGAATTCTCCCCCACTCCTCAAAGTTCTCGCTGCCGTTCTCCTTGCTCGGGAGGAAGAAATACTCTGGAAGCTTTTGCCTGCCCCACCACGCAAAAAAAGCCAACTGCATTTAACAACACACTTAACTCAGCAGTAGTCCTCATCCTCCTCTGTGTGGCACCATTCACCAGAGCCCCTGAAGTTTTTATGTGTGACTTGAATCATCACAGACCCTACAGGCCTTAGTTTACTGTCTGACAAAGAGGAGAGGAGGGAAGACTAGGAATGGGTGTTCCTGGGGTCTGACCTGCTGGGAGGTGTAATTTGGGGAGGCAGGAGAGCACCTCCCT